GGGCCGGGGTGAGCCGCAGCCTGCTCAGGCCTCCTCCCCCGCCCCCTAGGCTTTTCTTTGGGGGACCGGGTGTCTCTAAAAGGCCAGACCAGTTAAAAATACCGGATGGTCCCCTTTGTCTTCCCCGCCTCCGGACACTCCCGCGCTGTCAGTCTGTCTTCATCTGCCTTTCGTGTCTTTCCCCCTTTCTGTTCTGTGCTCCTGGCTCTTCACTGTCCCTGTCTCTCCCTGCCCGTTTGTGCCTTCGTGTCCCCGCCTCACACCTGCCCTTTGCCTCTCACCCAGCTCCTCCTCTCTCTGCTCCTCCGTCTCCTCAAGTTTTCTAGCTGTCTGTCTCTCTCCCTTTAAGGCCCTTGGTGCCTCCAGCGAGTGAGGAAGCAAGGCGGATATTGTCAGACTCTTCTAGGTGGGAGCCCCTCTTCACAGAGGGAAGCTATGACATCTTTGTCCCATCCGGGCCATCATTGGACAGGATGAGGAGGCCTTGATCCCTGGGCACCACTCTCCCCGGCCTCTCCCTGGCCAGGTGGTGGAGGTAAGAAGGTAGTGGCCCTCAGCATCCCTGAGCATCCCTCAGCCTCCACACCCCTTTTGAATCTCCCAAAAGGCTCCCTGATGAGAGCCCAGGACCAGGAAAGCATTTCTAGATCAGGATAAGATGGGGACCTCCCAGTCCTGCTTCCCCAGCGCCCTGAAAAATAGACAAGGCAGGTGGTCTCATTCCCATTTGCAAATAAGGATACTGAGGTTCAGTAGTGATAGGACCAGAAACTGCCCCTTCAACCTCCTACACCAAATTCTTTCTGCCCTGCAGAGCACCTTTCCCTTTGTAAAGAGGAGGCAGTGGGCCCTCTTCCCCAGCTAGTTTTAAGAGCCCTGGGTATAGACGGGAGAGGAAAAGGGAAGTATCAAGGGAAGTATCACTTCCATTTTGGGGTCCAGACTTTTAGCTGCTGCTGGTAAGGAGGGTGTACCTTATAGTGGGCAGACCTCAATATAGTTTTGAGACCTTTCCTATATTTCCCAACTTCCTTTGCCTTCTCACATTTAACCTAATAGACGAATCCAGCATATGTCATATGTAAATTTGGCAGATAAGGAAACTGTGGCTCAAACAGAGAAGTGACTTGCCCAGGGTCCCATGGCAAATTAGCAGTATATTGGAGCTCTGGCTCATGGGTTGTTCCTTCCCACCACCTCCTGTTGCCTCTGGAAAGGAGGTTTGCAGGGGCTGAGGAGTGGAAGCAGAACTGGGAACTAATTGGTACCTGGGGCCCTTTTGACAGACTGTCTCCTCACCATCTCCCCGACAAACCTGGGGCACAAGGGTGTAGATCCACTCACAACACCTGGGGACACGGGCCAGAAAAGCAGAATGAGGGGAAGTATGTAGAGAAGGGAAACCTTTGTGGCTGATTAGGTTTTATTTTATCTGTTTACTTGCTTTTAATTACCTGAGGGAAAAGATTAGGAGTTAATTCCCCAAGAGTATAAACCTGAGGAAGTTGTAACTAGGTTGTAACCTTAGCTTCCCGTTGGCTAAGAGAAAAGAAAGCTTGCTTCTTGCTGATTGCATTAGACTCCTAGATCTGGAAGGGCCTTGGGAGAGGGGAAGTGATGTGGGTCAGGAGTCGGTGCTGTGTGTGCGTGTTAGTGTGCAGTAGCTGTTTTCCTTTGTTAGAGTGTTCATTCATCCACTTATTCACTCAGCAAACACAAACACTGCGTGGCTCTTCAAGCACTGCTCAGAGGCTGCTTAGGCCAATGGCAGCCCCACAGACTCTGATTTTAAAAATCAATGGAAGTCCACATAAGTAAAACACATGTAGTTATTGGTCTGAGGACCATAAATCGTGAATCTATAAACAATTCATCCTCCAAGTTGAAACGCTGGTAAATCTCTGGGGTTATTTAAAAAAACCTAGGCAAGACCTGGGAATTGGCAGAGCAGTAGATCCAGAGAAGCAGGGCTCCAGTTTGAGCAAAGTGAGTTGCAAAGCTCTTTCCCCCCACCTCTCTTCAGGTTTTTGGGGGGTATGAGAAAGGAAAAAAGAAACAAACCAACAACTTGAGGTTGGTGGACCACATTTTGAATTCCAATCTTTCTTAATTTTTAAGTGGGAGTTGCTGCCTGGCTGCAGACCTGATGGGAAGGGCCAGGGTGGGTTTGGGATTCATTTATCCAGGAAAAACTCTCCTTTTTCCTGTGACTTGAAACCCCATCTTGACTTGAATGTGGTGGCTCTGAGAGCTGTTTGCAGTGTCATCATCTTAAGGAGCTCGTGTTCTGCCATCTCCTAGATGTAAATACCACTGTGTTGTGGCACCAAACGAGAAGGTAAGCCCTCAAGGGGCAGCAGAGCCGCTCTATGTTTGTGAATTAGCTGAGTAATTACACCCTGTCTGGCACCACAGTGGTTTCAGAGGCAGTTCCGGGGCCACTGTATGGCTTTTGGTGAGAAGTGTATTATTTTACTGAGTTTTGGCCCAGGCCAGCCCTGAGCCACCTGCAGGCATACCTCTTCTAGTTCAGGAAATGTGAAAGCCAGCTGCCGTGGAACTCCACATTTTTCCGGCTTATAGTAGTTTACGCCGTGGTTTTAGTGTGTGTCAGACCCTAGGGTCTAGCCCTTTTCTTGCCAAGTCACGATTTCAGTTCAGGGGAAAAGAACAAGCCCACCTTTATTGGCAGTCTTGCCTTGTGCCTATGCATTATCTGTTAGTTCTCCCTGTGACCCTATAGGTAGAGATTGCTATTGTTATTATTTCCATTTTAGAGATGAGGACACTGAGGCTCAGAGACTTGCCTGTAGCCTGCAGTTAATAAATGACCAAGGCAGACTGGGAACCCAGGTCTCCCAGTGCCAGGCCCCCATTGAACACTCACCTTTGTAAAGTAGCCAATGTTCCCGTCAGCCACACAGGAGGCTTGAAACGAATAAAAGGAAACTGAAGAACTCTCCATGAAGCTTACAGTTCACTACAGGTTTCAAGCCAGAGGACAGTGTTAGATTCTGAGTTTTCAAGCCATTCTGCTCTTCCTCTTCTCTTACCCGCCTCCTACCTGCAGTGCCCACACGCCAGCCCCCACCCCCCTTCAGTTGTCATTTTCCTGAGGAAATCTCAAAGGAGCTCCATTCTCCATGGAGGGTCCACGTAACTTAAGACTTGGCTTACCTTTGGACTGTGGTCTCTTCTGGCTCACTCTTATTTATTTGCCGAACAGGTTGTGAAAGTGAGAGCTACCTATTTGGAGAGCTCACCGTTACCTAGCTGCAATCCAGCCTGCTAAGGGGCTCATGGTATTGAATTTTGTGTTCTTTGCGGGGCCAAAACTGGTTTCTCTAGACCCAGACTCTTGAAAGCCTGTGCCATTCTATCCAGGCGCCTCGCTGTGTTGTTACTATTTGGGTGTGCTACATTCCTTTTGTTGTGCCCCCTTGCCCCTTCCTGTGTGCCAGGCCCAGGGCTCTACTAAGCAGACGCACCAGTGCACCAGCATGTCTGGGTATTGGGACTGAAATGAGAGCGTGACCGAGGGGAAACAAGAGCTAACTTTTCCGCCCTGCTTTGTAGGGTTTCTGTCGGGGGCAGAGGGATGAAGAAGAAATGGGCATGACCCGCAGGAAGTGTGTAGTCAGAGGGCTGGACGCAAAAGCTACAGAGGTAGAGCCAGACACTGGGGGAGTGTGGAGAAGGGACCAGTTCTCAGGGGGCTTTGCAGTTTGTCTTTCAGTCTTTCCTTCCCAGCTCCACTGCCTGCACTCAGGCCTGCCTCAGCTCTCACTCATCTAAACCAGTGCAGCAATTCACTGCTCTCCTTAGAGCCTCTGCAGTTCCCTGTTGTCTACTGAGAAAAGCTTCAGCTTCTTGGCCTGGCCTTCACAGCACCCAGCCCCACCTCACTTCTCCAGCCCTACCCACCCAGATGATCGGTATTTTGTGCCACCTTGAGAACATACCCTCAGGCACTCCTTTGAGCCAACCAGGACAGATTAATTATGGTCTGACACCAGGCCTCTGCCCACGGAGCTCACCTTCCAGTGGGGAAGGCAGACATGTGACATGTTTCTGGCCCACAAAGCTGAGGGCTGTGATAGAGGAGTGGACAAAATACATTGCTCAGGGGTGTTCCCCGTTCTACCCTCTGCCCCAAGGAGGCTCTCCCTCCTCCTCGGAGCTCTCCTTTCACTTTGCTTGTTCCTTGCTTTTGGATCTTAGCATTTTGTGTCTTGTCTTGGTTAGCCCTGAATGTGCCTGTGTTCCAGACAGTGAACTCCTCCAGGACTGAGGCCTGCCTGCCCTATCTCTGTGTCATCAGTGCCCGGCACCTAGTCCACACCAGCCAGCCCATATGGAAAAGGAGCTTTAGGAAGCCAGGTGCATTTTGTATGCTTGGGGAGAGGAAGTAGGGGGCATAGGAACCTCTGTACCAGCAACTTATTTTTGAGAACAGAAACTTGCAGTGGGATTTTCAGGTTTCATTCAACTTTGTTCATCTGGAAAACGTCAACATTCTTTATCACTCCCTTGACTAGAAGAAACCCCATGCTTGGGGGAAACAGCTTCCAAAGCCACGTTCTTCTTGCTTTGATCGTTTTAGCTCATTCAGGGCTCAGGTCCCAGCTTGGCATCGTTGGTCCAAATAGATCACTTGCTCCAGAAACACTTTGGAACATCTATGAAGTTAGCAGCAAAGCCAGGGCCGAGCCGATTTCATATGCAGAGATTGTTGCATGTCATCAGTGGGAGACTGCCAACAAAGGGATTTATTTCTTTTTTAAAAAAGCGAGTGAAAACTTTTAATTTAGGTTTTGACATGTTCTACTGATGTATGTTGGAGCAAATACTGGAACTTGCCTGCTGTCATCCGTTGCAGATTCTGCTGAGATGTTAACCATTGGAGGTTTGGTCTGATGTGATTTGTCTTGTTCAGAAACCGCATACTTGTTACCATTAGACAATGTGTGTTACCCAGCACTTCAGAGCTCTGGTTCACGGGGAAAAAAGAAAAATGCCCCAGGCAAGCTGAGGTCTTGCTCATTTTTTGTGGATGTTGTTATTTAAGAGCACACCAGTTATTTATTTTTATAGACACACCAGAAAAGTGGAATTCAAATTTAGATATTTGACTCCAAGATTAATTCTCTTTCCACTGTACCTACCCTCTTTGTCTTATAAGCTCCTCAGAGAGAGAGAGAGAAGTGTGTACTCTTCATTTTAAAATGCTGACCAGGAAAGCATAGGTACCCTGAAGAGGATTTCTCTGGCGCATTTAGGTTCTGCAGATACTGAGTTATACTCGGTGGTCACCCTTGTACTGGAGGGAAATGCAGGAGGAGAAAGAGCCATTGGTTTTCACCTGCAAGGATTAACTTACTAAACATTTATGAAGTACTCACCAGGTTCCTGGTTCAATGCTGGGAGTTTGCACATCCTCTGTCTACACCCTTGTAAGATGGGTCTTCTCATTAGCCCTGGTGAAGAGAGCTGTTCAAACAAGTGTTGAGGGGGTGCTGTAGGTGCCAGGCAGTG